CCAGACAAGGTATCAGCCATGCTCAAACTTCTTGCTCCAACCAACGTGAAAGAGGTTAGAAGAATTATGGGAACATTTTCTTGGTATCGGAGGTTTATACCTGATTTTGCCACTTTGATATCTCCTATTTCAGCTTTAGTTAGGAAGGGTCGTAAATTTGTATGGTCAGCTGAATGTGAAGAAGCCTTTCAGAAGATTAAGGAATATTTAGTATCTGCACCAGTTTTGAACTGTCCAGACTATGACTTACCGTTCGAAGTACATACGGACGCTTCAAGTCATGGATAGGGAGCGGTGTTGTTACAGAAGAAGGATGGCGAAGATCGAGTTATTTGCTACCTGAGTAGGTCTCTCAATAAGCTGGAGAGGAATTATACAACGACGGAACGCGAACGTTTAGCAGTTCTTTGGGCAATTGAGAAGCTGCGTTCATATCTTGAAGGGGTAAGATTCGAAGTGTATACCGATCATTGGAGTTTAGTGTGGTTGCAAAATCTTAAGGATGTTACCGGACGATTGGCTCGATGGGCATTAAAATTGCAACAGTACGATTTTTCTATTAAACATAGAAAAGGTAAAGATCATGTTGTGCCGGACGTATTGTCTAGAGCCGTACCTGTTGTCGATGCATGTGAAGTTTCAGAGACGGATGTTGGAAATTCAGATAGATGGTATTTTAGATGTTTGCGAAAGTTGCGGAAAATCCGTTGAAGTTTTCAAATTTTCGTCTCCATCAAGGACAACTTTATAAGTACACTCAACCTGAATTTCAAGGACTTGGTAATCCTGGAGATAGTTGGAAGTTAGTCATACCTAGGAATCGTCGCAAGAAATTGCTGGAAGAAGTTAATTTAAATCCAACTTCAGGACATTTAGGGGTTTATAAGACGTATAAGCGGTTAGCCGAACGTTACTTTTGGCCGAAGATGAAAAGTGACGTAGCAAGATTTGTGAGAAATTGTAAAGAATGTATTACCTATAAACCCACTTTACAAAAACCTGCTGGTCTTATGGTATCACAGCCAACTGTATGTCAACCTTTTGAAATGATTTCGACTGACCTGATTACCGTTACCGAGGTCTTTTAAAGGAAACCAATATATTTTGGTAGTTACGGATTATTTTACTAAGTACTCGTTACTATTTCCGTTGAGTGATGCTAAAACTGCAAAATTGGTGAAACTAATAGAAGATGAATTCGTTTTGGTGTATGGCGTGCCGAGGATTTTGATTTGTGATAATGGATCTACATACACCTCTAAAGAGTTTCAGAAGTTTGTAGAAAGATATCAGGTGAAGATAAGGTATAATGCGAATTATCATCCCCAAGCCAATCCCACCGAACGAGTTAACCGTACTATCAAATCTATGCTTGCGATATATGCATCAGAGAATCATCGAACATGGGACGTGAATTTGCCTAAGATAGCTTGTGCCATACGTACGGCGGTGCACGAAATCACTCAGTATACGCCATATTTCATGAATTTCGGTCGTCGCATGAAACTATCTGGTAAAGATTACAAGGAAGATATTTCAGGTGCTGATGAAAATGTCAATTATGAAACCCGGCCTGCTGCTTTTAAGGAATTATTTAAGGACGTTAGGGATAGGATAGCAAAGGCTGCGGCCAGAAATAAGCAGAGGTACGATTTACGGAGAAGGGATGAACAGTTTTTACCTCATCAGATGGTTTGGCGGAAGAATTATCCTCTTTCGGATAAATCTCGCTATTACACGGCTAAGTTGGCACCTAGGTATATTGGACCATTTTACGTCAAAAAACGAGTATCTCCATGGACTTACGAAATAATGGATAGTAACGGAATTAGCAAAGGCGTATGAAATGTCAAGGATTTGAAGTCAGCTAGCGCTGATGAAAATTTACTGGAGTAAATTTTCTTGAAGTAAGGGGGAAAAGTAACAGATTTATTTTGACCCTAGGATTGTTAGTATAATTTGGATATAATATTAAGTAAATTTGTACCTGTTATGTGATTTATTTAACATTGTTACATAATAAAGTATATGAAATTTCGAAGTGTAGATATTGTATAGTTCCTTATAGGTAGTGAAATGTCTTTCTGAGAGTTTTGTTTCATTTTTGTTTTAACTGTCAGCCCAAAGGTTTTGTCTACTTTGCTACCTCATTCGGTTAAGGGTATTGTGCTGTAACCATCTATTTTTGTTCACCATCATGACAAATTTGTTGATAGACTACTGTCAGACCAGAGTTTTTGTGATTATTCTGCCACTGTCAGTCCGGATAAATAGTGCTGTCTGTATCCCTTTAAGTCATAAGATCTTACAAAAACATTCAAATCGCTAAAAGTTTGCTAGGTAAGTTGTTGTGTTAGCGTCCACTTGTTGAAAAATTTGCTAAAAAGGTTATTTAGTATTAGCTATTTTTGTTTCTTATTTTGGGTATGATTGGGGTTCTCTATGTGGTTTTTACTCTAGTTTTAAGTAACCGTGGGGCTATTGTGTGTACATACCTGTGTGTCTCTCGATAGTCCAAAAACAGCCCGCTTCAGTCTGACAGGTACTATAACTTGTTAGGGTGTTTATATGGAAAGCATAAAATATCCTTGAGAAATCCTCTAAAATATTTCAGTTTGATAAATGCTATAATTTATTAGGAAGTTTGATTCCTTGAGATAATATTCTCTAAAACATATTAATAGTAATTAGAACAGATTGTATGTAGTTGTTTAATTCATACCTGTTTAGAGTGTTTAGTAGAAATGTATTTAACATTCATTTATCTTGTTTTGCTAAGTAGTAAACTTTTATTTTGGTTATTAACATCTGATGGTTTATAATAGAACTTTTCTTGTAAGGTATTACACAGGACTGAGAATGTCGAGTTTACCCATTCTCATTAGTAGAATTACGATTAAACACTATTTTCTAGCACTTTTTTAATTAATTAAAGTCGTTTCATCATTCATAATAAATAATAAAATATGTTTGGTTATCAGTTCTTCTTTCTTCTGTTTCGATTTTTCGTGTATCTCAGGTATTGGGCTATTAGACTGTAGTTCAGGAGACGTCCGCTGTGTCGTTCCACGAGCGGTGTGTTCTGTACGAATGACAACTTAGTTTTGTCGCTCAGATTAGCATGAGGAATTGTTAGAGCATGTGAAAGACAATGTACTCAAGTCTATTTGGTGATTTGATTTATGACGTCATTCGGCCGTTCGGGGCTATCACTTCAATGGTAGATGTGTTTTGCAGTTCTATTGTGTCCCAAGGATTTGACAGTTTCCGGAGTCTGTCGTTTGGACTCCTCACTTCTGATTTTGACGTTTAAATGTCTGCATGATTAGCAGGTGTGAGTGACGAATTCTAATTTAATATATGGTAATTTGAAACCAACACAGATTGTGGAGATTAAGAAGTTCGTCTATTATTATTTAAGAAGCCTCTGATAGTTATATTTTTGGAGTTTCGCAAGATTTTGATGGAAATGTGGTATTTGTGATGTATCATGCTTTTTAGCCTGTTAGGGAGTTTTAAACCTGTGGTCACAGTATTTTGGAAGAAGTGTACAGGCTGTTTAGATTATTGGAAGATTATTAAAACGTCGATTCATTTTGGAAACGCTATCAAGTTGAGGTAAATGAGATTATTTTACATTTCTGTTGTAAAGCATTTCTAGACCTATTTTTTTGTATATTAACTTTCTATTACGGAAAAGGGGTATGGGGGTTTAGATCTGCAGTTTTGAGTAATTCAGTTTCACTGTAACATAATATTTTGTTCATTTTCACAGTTCAGAGACTTTGTGTTTTTTAGTTAATCTTTTTTCTTGTACCTAAGAATATCAGTTCCTACTAGTTTTTGGAAAGTATTGGGAAGGGATCTGAAGGTTCACTTCATGTACTAATACTTGATGGTATTTTTAGGGCAGTTTTCAGTATCTGGAGATTTCTGTGTCTGGATCTTTAGTAATTGGGGTTTTATTTTACAATCCAGAACACCAATCCCTGGTTTGGTAAGGATTTGAGACTGTACAGCTTGGATTCGTATGTAGAAGTCTGTAGCAGTTTGTTTTGATTATTCAAAAATGACTTGAGGAGCCAAAGAAAAAACAGAGGAGACTTGATAAGTTTTTAGTTTTATTGAACTTACTTTTTAACTTACATTTAACTTTTGCGGCTTTGAAATATTGATTAGTAAAGTTCTTGATGCAATTTTCATTTAAATATATTAACTAAATAATAATTTTTCACTTTAAAGTTGATTAAACGTTTTGTAAATGCCTATGTACAATATTTGTGCATATTTTTTTTTAAACTTAAAGCAGCTATGCTGTAGTATTGTAACTTAATTTACCCATTTTTTGTTCGCGTTGGATCCAACGCCTATAACTTGAGGTACTTCCCTGAAGTAAAGTTTTATTCATTTGCTACAATGGCAGATTGTCATACATAGGTATATTTTCATTTTTTTTTATTATTTTTATGTGATTAAATAATTAATAACATTACTTAATAATTTTTAATAGTCTGGGGGGAAATAGTCCAAATTTTTTTTAAATAGTAAAGGGGATTAAGGTTCTAATTTGTAACTTGACTATAAATTTTAAAATTAGTACTGCGATCTAAATTTTATCCGACGTGTAAACATATGTTTTTAACATTTACTTTTCATATTGAAACCAAGTGTGGTTCTTCGCACATTTTTATAAATCAATGAATGTAAGTTAAGGTTGTCTTTTTATTTCCTACTTTTGTCAGATTTAGGTTAGGGAAAGAAACTTTATGGCTCAGATAAATCTGACTGGCGCCTGACAATTAAATTTTAAATTTTTAACATCCCAGATTTGAGATATACTCACTCCCGTCTCCACTTGAGTAAACCGGAGCTACAACGGTTGACATCGGGGACAACCGAAGCTTGATAAACCTAGTTTAAGGTTATAATACAAAAAGATAAATGACATGCAATATTAATTTTACTGTTTTACGATAATTGTACAAAAAACATATAATTGGTTATTTGATTTTGGAGATCTTCTCCCATTTGTTAATTTGGGGTAAAATTTTCTTTTGAATCATATTTCCTGGCTCCTCCACAGCAAGTGTAAAATAAATACCGATTAAAAAACTTAATATAACGCTTATTGTATAATCCTGAAACTAAAAAAAAAGAGTTAGAATATATGGAATAATAAAATAATATATAAAGTAATTACTATATAAAAGGGAATAAGTCACAATTACAGGTTAAAGTAAGTTTATTAACGTTTCAATTTCCACTTCGGAAATCGATCACAAAATACAAACATTGTTATTTAAAATATTTATATTTAAAACTATTTTTTTAGGTATGGTATACTGCATTATTATGGTAGGTAGGTATTGCGTTGATGTAAAGTTGTGTTCCATCAACTGTAAAGGAGATAATTGATGAATTCGACCATAACTTGATGGAAATTTATTTTATGTAACAATAAAACACTGAAAACTTTGTTGTCAAACTTCCATAGAATTTATTTGATAAACTCCAGAGGGGAGAACTGTGTCTCAAGTTGGTCATTCAGAATTATATCTGTGTTTTTTAATCTGTTGATTTCCATAGATTCTAACAAGGATAGCTTAAGGACTTTATTTTGAATGTGAAGAATTTTAAATTCGTCATTAAAAGAATGCTTGTAATCTAGAAGATGAAGTGCATATGTAGAATCTGTTTTCAATAAGGACTTTCAATAATAGAAAAACATATTCTACATCATAATCATAGTTTTAATGACGAATTTAAAATTCGTTACATCCAAAATAACCGAAAATAAATATTGACGCATACCTGCGGTGATAGGTGATGCATACAGAAATAAACCAGCCAATCATATGCTAGATATTATAATAGAACATACAAATAAAAGAATTACTGATTTGACAAAAATCATCTGAAATGAAAGCCTTTATTGGTATCTTTTTACTGTCTTATGCTTTTAAATCAAATAATGAAGATTTGAGTTCGTTATGGGTCACAGATCTAACAGGTCACGACATTTTTCCCGCTACTATGACACTAAACCGTTTTTGTTTCTTATGCGATTCGTTGCGCTTTGATAATAGTGTCACAAGGAACGTATCCAAAATGGATATAAACTTGCCATTATTTCAGAAATATTTAAGCTTATGATTGCCAACCGTCAATCAAATTCTGTTTGTGGTCAGCTGATGACTATTGATGAAATGCTGGTGGGGTTTAGGGGTAGATTTTGATATAAAATTGTATGTCGAATAAACCGAATAAATATGGCATAAAAATAAAGTATTTGTGTGGTGCTAAGACACATTATTTATTGAATACATTTATATGTATATGCTGGAAAAGATGATCATCCCAATCCGATAAAATTATCCATTCCCACACTTAATGTTTTACAAATTGTACTGTAAACAGCTATTGAAATATCACGGCAGATAACTGGTTTGCATTAGTTGAATTGGCAAATGAATTTAAAAAAAGTGGACTAACACTAACGTATACAGGAACATTGTGAAAAAACAAAAAAGAAATTCTGTCTGAATTTTTGCCTAATAAAGACCGCCCCGCTTTGTAAAACAATTTTTGGATTTACATCCTAACACTCCTATCATATGTGCCTAAAAAACGTAAAGCTGTCATATTGTTCTCTTTACTACCCCATACAGCTACAATCGAAAATAATGAAAAAAAAACTTCCTGAAATTATAAATTTTTATAATTTAACAAAAGTCAAGGAAGGACAAAAGCGTATTATTTCCGATTAACGTTCAGTAATCGTTACGTAAATTCGAACAAAAGTGCAGTATTTCGTGATATTCATATTTTGCATGGACGATTATAACATTCATTGATCTATTTTCCCGACAAAAGTGAATCATCTGGAATTTATCGGAATAAGTGTTGTTTAATAGTGGTATTATGGTTCCGGTCAATAAAGTAATATTTCGAGTTGCTACACTCTTGCACGAAAATTTGTAGACAAAAGTGTTTAATATATCGGTCCAATAGAGTAATTTTTCGAGTTATTACCGTTTTGCTTGAACATTTGCTATTTTTAAGTTATACTTATTCCATCAAAAGAGTGATATTTTAATTTTCTACAGCTTTTACCGAAGGTAAGTACTACATAGTTACATTTGATCTAACTGAGGGTCTCAGAATAAAAGAAGTGCAAGTGCAATTTGTGTATGTACTAAGTCAAGTGCAGCTTTGGATAACTAGGTAATAGTTTATTTGGATTGAAAGGTCCTAGTGATCCCTATATTATAATGTGATATATAACTGCTGTGATTTAAAGACAGTTTTAAAAATTAAAGATATTTTAATGGTATTTCTCAAATCAAATAAATTGGCACTCAAATCCCTTTTATTCTAAGCCCTTCAATTATTCTTAGTTTTTATTTTACAAAATTTATTGTGGTAACTATTTTGATCATTTGAAAATCCTGTAAAAACATATTGTTAAAATTAATTTTTATTATTTTGAATAACTTTTTAGTTTAGGTTGGAGTTATTATTGTCTTGTTTTCGGGTGCAAAAATAATAATGGTACTAAGTACAATAATTAGTAAATATGGATTCTTTTTTTTTAGATAATGGATTCTGTGCACGTCCGAACTCATAGACTAATGCAAGCCGTTGCTATTCCACAAGATAATGCTTCTAATTCAACTACCCAGTCACAATATGAAGGCGCTGAAATTTTAAAGCCAATGAATTATGAACACAGCCTAAATAAAAATAAAACAATTTATTCAACTGAGAATTTTGAAGAGGTCACAATATCGCCTCATTGTTCATCGGATATAGTTGAAGACACATGAGTACAAAAGAATGAACTGCCTTTGGATCAAATGGAATGTTTATCAAAAAATATCCAAACTAAAGGTGCGAGTCATACTTCTTCTTCTTCAGATGCAAATCCACTAATGGATGTTAGCGATCACATTTTCCATTAACTCTCTATTTCTTGCAATATGTGTCAGAGATTGTATGTCGTTAATCCCTGTCCATTGCCTTATGTTTCGGAGCCAGGACATTTTCTTGCGTCCCATTCCTCTCTTGCCTTCAATTTTACCCTCGATTATAATTTGGAGGAACTGGTATTTTTCATTTCGCATGATGTGATCTAGATACGCCGTTTTCCTTTTCTTGATGGTTTCGAAAAGTTGGCGTTCTTGGTTTATTCTTTTAAGGACATCTATATTTGTGATTTTCGCTGTCCATGGTATTTTTAGGATATGGCGATAAAGCCACATTTCGAAAGCTTCCAATCTGTTTATATCCCTCGTTTTGAGTGTCCAGCCCTCTACGCCATATAGCAGCACTGACCATACGTAGCACTTTAGTAAACCTGCGAGTCATACTAAAGAATCATATTCTGATATTTCTGAAGATGGTGACGATAGTAAGAAAGACCCAAATTACGACAATAATTCTACAAATTCATCGTCTTCGTCATCTAATACGTCTACGTCTTCTAGTACGTCTTCGTCTTCTAGTAGGTCTTCAACTTCTAGTACGTCCTCGTCCTCACCTGTTCCGCCTTCAACTGGTTTATCTCTGAATGATCAGAATTCCTCTCAGGTAACGACAAATGAGAATATTGAGAACACAGCAGGCCAGGCACAGAAAAAGCTTACAAGAAAGAGAGTTTGGAATGAACATAATTGGCTAAGAAATAAAACAAAAAATTTAAGAAACGCTGGACAGGAGTATTGTTCTCTTAGCAAAAAAAAATGTAAATAGTACCAAAGAAATGTATCAAGGACACCTGTGGCGAAAAATGCACTTTTAAGTGTAGTACAAAAATTACAGAAGATGAACGTCTTGTAATATTTAATGAATTTTACAGTTTGTCGGATCTTAATAGAAAATGTGAATTTATTGCAAGGCATAGTAAATTAATCCAATGAAAGTACAGATATGTCAGAGAAAAAAACCGAGATTTCAATTTAGCATTTTACTTCACAGTTAACCAGAAAAAATTGAGGGTCTGCAAAAAAATTTTTAAAGCCACTTTAGATATTAACGATCGTACTATTCAGACCGTAAGAGCTAAGCTAACACCTAATGAAACTATTCTCGGTGATGGCCGTGGAAAACATCACAACCACAAAAAAGTGGACGAAGAAATAAAAGAAAGTGTTAGAAATCATATTATGTCAATACCACGTATAGAGAGCCACTATCTAAGAGCTCAAACAAGTAAAGAGTTCATAGATGGCGGTAAATCAATAGCAGACCTACACAAAGACTATACTATTTTGCGCAAAAATGAAGAAAAACCATAAAATATGCAAATTATCACATGTATTCTGACATATTTGCAAAGAATTTAATATTTCATTTTTCGTTCCGAAAAAGGACCAATGTAATCTGTGTTATATCTACAATAATGCTGGAAACGAAGAAACAGTAAATTCAGAAAGTGAGTTCCAAAACCATCATAATGAAAAAGTGTTATCCAGGAATGAAATGGCTAATGATAAAGAAAAAGTAAATAACAATTTCGTGGTAGCCTGTTTCGACATGCAAGCGGTACTTTAAATCCCAAAGGGTGACATATCCTTATTTTATTACAAGTCAAAATTAAATACGATGAACTTGACAGTTATCGAAATTGGAAATGACGAAACGTACTGTTATGTTTGGCATGAGGGCGAGGGTGGCAAAGGTGCTACAGAAGTTTCTTCCTGTCTCTTATCCTAACTAAAAATGAAGTCTGAAGACTTAGACTCAGATGATCTCGAGATAGTCTTATACAGTGATAACTGTGGTGCTCAGCAAAAGAATAGGTAATAACGTTTAACTGTATTTTTGTATGATAATGATTTATTTGAGAATTATTGTTCTACGTTTCTGGTTGCTGCTGTAATGTATGCTGTCAGCAAGTTTAAAATCAAACGTATCACCCACAAATACTTAGTAGTTGGTCACATACAGAATCAAGGTGATTCTATTTATTCCACAATTGAGAAGCTGGTATAGTTATTTGATTATTTGCATACGTATCGTAGTAGATTGAATCATTTTATTGTTTTAGGTTACTCGCTCCTTAAAGTCTGGTCCCATCTTTGTTCCAGACCAATTTAGTACTTTAATACGATTAGCCAAAAAGAAAGGAAACCCGTTAAAAGTA